TGTGTGTGTGTGTGTGCGTGTTTCTTGTGTAAGCTGAAAGACGCGAAAAATTATTGAAATATCTATTGCTCCAAGGGTTCAGGGGATCTCGTAGTCGAGCAGTCTCGACTAGAGCTTTCTTACTTGTTTTTATTTTTTATTTTCTGATTTTGAAATTCTGTCTAAAGCACGTAATACTGCCCGACGCCGACGACCTTTGCAATGCGACACCTGCACTCGGTTCAACTAACAGCTGCCATGCCAACACCACACCTACCACCCCCCACCATTTGCCACGCCTGTTCGGCCCCCCACTTTTGGTGTGCTCTAAGTGTGCATAGAAATTGCAATTTTTCGCACATAACTTTTGCCTCGCTTTCCATGGCCTTGGCAATGAATTGAAAGCGCCCCACTTGCAGCACGCGGTAAAGGGGTGGGGAGAGAGAGGGAGGCGAGGCGAGGAGTTTGTGTTTGTGTATGTGTATGTGTATGTGGCGGTCATTGTTGCGGCTGCCTGTTGCGGTTAATTGTTGCAGTTGCATTCGCCTTGCCCGTAGCCAGCGAAGCGTGTGGAATAAACAGGAAAACAGTGGCCAAATAAAGGGGAAGATCGAGAGGTAAATACATGGGCAAATGCATGTATGTGAATGTGTGTGTGTGTGTGTGTGTGTGACGGAACTAGCAGGGTGTCAATGGAATAGTTTGTTATAAGCTGAACGATCGTATATGTCTATACATAGATAGCAACACAATATAAAGCAGAGCACAGGTGGCACAGTGGACGCAGCGAGAGGAGTGGAGTGGGGGAAAGGTAGCAAGGGGGCACAAGCAAAGCGAAACAAGGGTTAAATGATGCCCATTAGGAGCCATAAATTGATACCCTCAATACTAGATTAATGTGACACACACACCATCTCTATCTCCCTCTCTCTCTCTCTCCCCCCCCCTCTCTCTCTCTCTCTCTCTCTCTGTGTGTTTTCTTCTACAGTCACTAAATCAAATTAGTTCAAAGCTTCCAAACATTTTTCTGTTGGGGAAGTTTCTTATCAGCTTCAGCGGAACGAAAAACACTTTATTTCTATAAATAGAAACAATTAACAGATTATTCGAGTCGCCTCTTAAAATGTGAATCCAAATCAGTTTTCCTTCAATGATTCCATACTTTTAAAGCACTCTCTCTCTCTCTTTCCATCTTCCTATCCTTCACTCTCCCAGATTATTTTCTCTCTCTGCCTCTACGATCTCTCTCCCTCTATCTCAGCCCCTTCTCTCAACCCACCTCTCTCTCTCATCTAACCCGCTTCATCTGTCTGTCTCTCCTGCGATCTCTCTCTCTCTCTCTCTCTCTATCTAGCTATCTTCCTTTTACTCGTTCCCTCAGAGTCCTTTCTATTTCTCTCTTTTAGCTTCTTTGCGCTTCTCTCCCTTTCCCTCAATCTGTTCTCTCTCTTTCTCATTTTCTATCTTTCTCTCTCTCTCTCCCTCTTTCTGTCTCTGCCTCTCCCTAAGCGGCATTCATTTGCAATTTTCAAATTCTGCTTTATGTGACATTCTGAAATGTTTGATCCCATTTAAGTTGACACCCAGAATGAAGAATGAATCAAATAATTGAATTAGTTTATGCAAACTGATCTAAATTAAGTCTAAATATGATAATTTGAATATGCATCTACAATTGCAGAGCTTTTTACAGTTAAGTAGTGGAAAAGTGAAAAAGAGAAGTTACTTATAGCAACCATCTGATAATCTTACTTATAATAAAAGAAAAATACAAATATTTTATACTTTTCAATAGGAAAGTTTTTTAATCATACTCAGTCAAAGCAGCACTTAAAGTACTTAAAAGCCAATACACCCACATCATGAAGAGAGTATTAAAATAGCAATTGCTTTGGGCAATCGATTGCTGCTTAAATGAGAATGAAAAGACTTAAGTGGAAGATCGGGTCAAGCGTATAAAGATCGAGTTGAGTGCATTCAACTCTCAATTGGAGAAAGAGAGGGTGTGTGAGGGAGAGAAATGGACAGGGTGACATCGAACAAGTGGAACAAATGGCAATTGGATAGATTTAAATGATTGCACGCATCAATTTCTCTCAGTGCAGCGCATTTGCCTTTAATTGAAATTGAAGCTGTCTGCAGATTCTATTAGTTGATTTACGTTCTTGCTCAATCACACAATAGCACACGCACACATACACACACACACACATACACGTTGGCACGCCCCCTGCCCATGGGGGCTCGAAGTCAAGTCGCGTGTTTGTCTTCAGATAGCGTGAAACAAACAAAAAATTTACATTTTTCGGCCGACTTCAATCAGAGGCGCGCAACACGTTTTCCAATCAAACTAAATGTACCGATCCCCAAAGATACTCGAATACTATATATCTATGGAGACATAGATATAGGTATAGATAGAGCAGGTTGTAGATAGATATAGCACTCGTGTTATTTAAACGGCCTTCACACACAACAATACTGACGGACGGATGTGTGGGCGAGGAGGGCAGGAAAAGAGAGATTCTTTAGATAGGGAAAAACGAGCCGACGAGCAACTCAGAAAATTTGAGCAGGAATTTTAATTTAATTAGAGCTCCGATATATATAAATGTATATACATAGCAAATATTGGGCATCAACAAATGTTTAAAGTACGACTTTAGCTCTCAATTTGATACGAAGATATGTTATATATTAGTTATGCATTTGCATATATGTAGATACATATGTATATATGTACATCAATATTTTTTCTCCTATCTAAATTGCTGTTATTACATCCTTTATCTTAAATTCTATATCCTAGATTATGGTACAGTATTGTCTCGATAATAATCAAAAATCGCTATAAATCGACAAAAAAAATTCTATCCGCTTCAAAAAATATCGTTCTCAATAATTCTTGATTATTTGAATTTTTGTGTAAATTGAAAAAATCTATTCCTCTTGCCGTTTCGAATTATCGGGACTCCACTGTACTTCTATACCCGTTGAAAATGGGTAGTTAGGGTATAAAAGTGTTCTTAAAATTGGTGTAACAGTCAGAAGGAGGCGTGACAGACCCCATAACGTAGCAGAGTCGCCCTTGTTAGTTAGCCTGTTCCGTCTGTAGGTCCAAAAGCTTACACCTTTTGCACTTTGTTCATACCTCAGTCGAATACTCTATGCGGAATATTTAGATATATAAGAAGCCTTACAATAGTTCCCTGGACTCTACTAAATATAAGTCGTACTGATTGAAGTTTTTTTTCTAAATCAAAAAATGATAAAGATATGAAACTGAATCTCTGAACTTAATTCTAACATTTGATTTACACATATATATTGTATATTACATATATTATATATTATATTATAATGCACTTTTTATAATTATTTTCACTGCTCTCTCGTTTTTCTTTTCCCTCGCTCTGTCTCTCTTTTTCTTTATCTTTCGCTGTCTTTCTCAGTCTCTCTCTCCCAGTCTTCTAATTCTTCTATATTCGAGTACCAAATTTTTAACATCTCTCCAATTTGTCTATTTACAGTTTGATACATTGATATGCATCGCTGGCGTTGTCTGATTARCAGAAACAACAACAACCACTACAACAACTATAAACGAAAAACGAGGAGACAATACGAGCCGTAAATTCAACGCAATTTGTTATCAACGCGACATTTTACAGCACTGTCCAAGCGGCTTTTTTTCTTGAATACTCGCTTCAGCTGAAGCTCGGTTCCACCGCAACTCTCCAAACTCTCCACAGGCTCAGCAATTTGAAATTGTGCCAAAATGTATAAGCTATTGGGTAGCCTGAAGAGCTACCTCAAATGGCAGGACATCCAGACGGATAATGCAGTCTTCCGGCTCCACAACTCCTTCACAACGGTACTTTTGCTTACCTGCAGCCTGATCATCACGGCCACCCAGTATGTCGGCCAGCCGATCAGCTGCATCGTCAATGGCATACCGCCGCATGTGGTCAACACCTTTTGCTGGATTCATAGTACGTTCACCATGCCGGACGCGTTCAATCGACAGGTGAGAAGTCTACACAACTCTACATGAGTCACATCCAAAAGTGTAATTGGGCTACAGAGCATTCACATACCCATAAGTCAAATAAGCTTAAAATTGTTCGCAATTCTACAAAGACGGTGCATACTCTACACATTACAAAAAAGTCTACAATTTGTACTATTCTTTGTATGTATTATTCCAATAATATAATATAAAGTAATGCTTCGCATTTCGAAAAATTTACAAATCAAGTCAGATAGCTCGAAGTCTCCACAAAACATTTATTGTATGTAGAGCGAAAATATCATTTCTCGACACATATTAAATAAGGCTTAGAGTATATATGTAAAAAAAAATCAATTTAGAGCAATTTTGCTAAGACTACACAAGTCTCCAAATGGGTTTTGTGCGTGGGGAATGCTAAGAAAAGTGAATGACTTGAAGATATTTGTAAATTTCTTTAGTTTTATGTCAAATCAACAAAGTCTACACAAATCTCCACAAATATTTTTGAAATATATTTTCAAATTTAAACTGACAAATAACAGTTAATAGCATTTCATGGCAAAATGAACAATTTTGCAAAGTCTACACTAGTCTCCAAAAGCATAATTTTTACATTTTGTGATGAATGCCTTTGATATTATTTAAGAGACTGCATCAAACGTTCTAATACGCTCACTACGTATTTTTTGCATAGTCTACGCAAGTCTCCAAAAATAATAATATTAATTTTTCAACTGCACTTCAATCAAACAAACCTCAGCAAACCTTGTAAATATCATGTTTACAAACTCTACGCAAGTCTCCAAACGTTCCAAGTGCTGACAATGTAATTTTTGCATAGTCTACACAAGTCTCCAAAAATAATGATATACATTTTTCAAATGCACTTCAATCAAACAAACCTCGGCAAACCTTGTAAATAGCATGTTTACAAACTCTACGCAAGTCTCCAAATATAGTTAGCGCGCCTTTTAAGTCACGCAATCACGAAACTTCAGCGCAGCTTCCCAGAATTTGCTACCTTTTCTGCTTCACTGGAGTCTTGTCTTGCCTTGCTTGGTTTCATTCTTTTTACTGCTTCTTCCTCTTCTTCTGCGTCTTCGTCCTCTTCTACACATCCTTATGTAGGCCGATCACGTTCAACGTTGTCTCATTTGTATGATGTGTAATACATGCTGTAGGCCCGTTTATGGATGCCTCGCATAAATATGTGCATATTTATATGCTCCGGCTATAAAGCAATTATAAAAGGGGCGTTGTCGCTCCAAATTGTGCTTCGTGTGATCCAAAAAGGAAGAAGAAGATGAAACCAAAATACAAAACCAAGGAAAAAAACCGATTAACAACGACACAAAAATTGAATATCCCGCGGCCAGCCTTTCGCTTATGCACATATCTCATATTTCAACAGGGGCAATGTTTTGTGATTTCGTGGAACCTTCAACGCAGACGAACAACATGTCCTTGTCCCTAAGGCAGAGTACATCAAAATTCGCAAGCAGTTTGTCAATGCAGAAAAGAAGAGGTTGAGGCTCAATAGCCTGAAAGGAAATCATTAGAGAGTCGGAGAGCTTGGAACTTCAGTAAAGACTCAATCTCTAGAGAAAATCTAAATAAGAAGTGCCTTTAGCTTCCCTCGCTAAACACACAACTGTTATATAGGCAACTGTTATACCAGTTAGCAGAATGTTTTTTGTTTTTTTTTTTTTTTTTTTTTTTTTAGACTAAATTTATTACATATGCAGCAACATATAACATATACTGTATACTATATTATACTTAATATTATAACTGTTATACTGCTATTGTTACTAGACAATGCTACTAAATAATAAAAAAAAAGTATCACAATTCGTTAACTTCATTTAAGTGAGTTTTATAACAAAAGATACAAAAATTGCATACAACTTTTTTATACTACTTTATCACAAACATGTAGTATAACAGTAAGCATTATGACAGTTATTAATCATAATAATCGACTTTTATTATAGCAGTAAGGCATATTAACAGTAAGTGGTCTACCAATTGTATACCATAAATCAGCAAGCTTTAGTATAACAGTACAATATAATAGTTGCAAAGCTGTAGAAACTATTGTACAATGCAATAGTTGTAAAGCTGTAGAAACTAGAGTTCGGTTTATATATAGTCGAGTCACTCACATCCTATTAAAAATCCATATACCATTCTTAACTGTTATAAGATATGATAACTGTTATACATTATATGCCTCAATGTTATAATCAACTAAAATATTTAAATATATTTAATAATACTTATACTACTTAATATAATCACAAATGGAACTGTTATACTATTGTTTTACTACTGTTATAATAGGTCTTTAGGCTTTAAAATATATATAATGTCGATCAACAATCATTGAAAACTGTTATACTGTCATTGCTGCTGTTATATTGTAGAGTATATACCATATCTAATTCTTTGCATATGTTCCATTTCAAGGTCGGCCGTGAGGTGGCACATCCTGGCGTTGCCAACGACTTCAATGACAAGGATGCCCGGAAATACTATACCTACTATCAGTGGGTGTGCTTTGTGCTCTTCTTCCAGGTAAGAAAAACAGCCATACAAAAGATCTCTGCAATTGTGTGCTTATGAGCGAGCACCTTCACCCCCGCCTCAAGCTCGAGCCCCCCGCTTTGGTCTGTACAATAGGGTATACGAAAGTAGGGATATCTCTCCGTTTATGTTTGACGTTTTGACGACTTCCATATCGCTGTGCTCGTGGTCTCAATTGCTACGCAGAGGCCATAGCACACACACACACGCGCACACACACACGCACACACATTTATAAGACTCGCACAACAGCTGTACTTCAATGAAGCCTAATTGAATGCGTGCGTTGGCTTTCGATCTATGGGGGGAGGAGGAGGCTGTGGAGGCGTGTATGCGTTTGTGAAAAGTAGAGAAAGAGAGAGAGAGACGCAGAGGGAAAGAGAGGTAGCGGCTAATGCCTAACCGTTGATTGGGGGATGGGGGGCACGCACAATTCATTGTATTGCCAAGCACGCGCAATCAAGTATGATTGCGCGCCTGTTGCGCAACACGCAATACACAATCAGCAACAACAACAACAACAACAACAACAGCTCAACAACAACAGCAACAACAACAACTACTACAACAGTTGCTAAACACCAAAGACAGCAGCAGCAAACACTTGCGAAATGCCAGAATACTGAATTCCAATGGATTAATGACTTGCTAAATCCCAGCAACAACAACAACAACAAATGACAGAAGAACAACAACAGCAACAACAACAACAACAATTATGAAAGAACGCATCTAACTTCTGCGGAAAGTCAAACATCAACTGTTGAAGCTCTCCACAAATAAGAGCTCTTAGCTAATGTTTGCGTGTAGTTGATTAACAATCGTTCAACTAACAAGTACAGTAAAGACTGCCCGTAATGGACACTGAAGGGAATTTTGAATTTATGCTTAAAACTGTTTAACGGAAATTTGTGTTAACTTATATATACACATAAATAAGTCTGCTGAACTTATTATGTCGTTTTTGCTTAGACTCTCTAATAATACTCTCTATTCTATATATAGAGTATAAGGACCCAAAAGCTTTAGGATCACGCTAAAAGCTGTTTATAAAATAAATAAATGTAGCACTGATGCTAAATATGAATGTATTGAGAAACTTAGAACAAGTAAAAGCTAACTATAATGGATAATGAACAAACTTCTGAATTAAGCTTAAAGCTCTTTGCTGCAAATTAGTGTTAACTAATAGAGTGTAAAACTTTTTATGGAATATGCCATAACACTGATGAGAGACTTAGAACCAGTAAAAGCTGCCTACAATAGACAAGGCGAAAGCTTTTAAATCAAGCTTAAAGCTCTTCAAAGCAAATACAGTCTTATACTGTCTCAGCTTACTTCAAAGACTGTGGTCCTATTGATTTATTACTATTATACAATATACATATGTATATCCTCTCTTATGCTCGCATTTAACGTTTTTGGTTTAAGCTAAAAGATCTTAACTTCAACTCCAACAATTTTCGAAGAAGTATTTCACAGAATTTATTATAATTTCTTTAAAGAAAACTTAAAAAAAACGCTTTTTAAGTGTATAACAAAAAAACTTAATTAATAGAAAATATTTTTATATTTATGAATATTTTAATATATGTATGTCTCAAATTGTGCTCATTGAGATTATCACTAATTTGATTTGTTTAGCTGTATAAGAATTTCTTTTCTAGGATAATTTAAAGTATTAATATTACGTTTCCTTTCAAATTGAGATTTCTATATTCATTTAAATGTGTTTTGCTATTTTCCCCCTCAATTCTATAGGCCATGGCCTGCTATACTCCAAAGTTTTTGTGGAACAAATTCGAGGGCGGTCTGATGCGCATGATTGTCATGGGTCTGAACATCACGATCTGCACGAACGAGGAGAAGGAGGCCAAGCGCGATGCCCTGCTCGACTATCTCATCAAGCATGTGAAGGTGAGCACGAATGCCCAAATCCAACTCGTATGCAGAAACACGTAATAATATTGTATATCCATTTGATCGATTGCAGCGTCATAAACTGTATGCCATACGGTATTGGGCCTGCGAGGTGCTCTGCTTCATCAATATTGTGCTTCAGATGTATTTGATGAATCGTTTCTTTGACGGCGAGTTCATATCGTATGGCACGAATATAATGGGATTATCGGATGTGCCGCAGGAACAGCGTATGGATCCCATGGTTTATGTCTTTCCGCGCGTCACCAAATGCATTTTCCATAAATACGGTGCCGGTGGATCGCTGCAGACGCACGATTCCCTATGCATATTGCCGCTGAACATTGTCAATGAGAAGACCTATGTGTTCATCTGGTTCTGGTATTGGATACTGCTCGTACTGCTCGTTGGACTGATGATATTCCGGTACATAGCTATATATAGATAGATATACGTATATAACTTTAGATTGTTGTAGAAGTTTATCTTAGTTCAAAGAACTGTTATACATAGTTCTAGATACTGTTAAGGCTCCTGCTAGTTAGACAAAGCTCGTGTTAATTTGAGAAACACCTAGTTACTATTCAACATATAGTATATTTAGCTAGTCTTCATTTTAACATAACGTATATATAATTATGCCTACTGTTAAAGTGCTGTTAGACGGCCAGTCTATTGTAAAACTATACTTCTGTTATAGTTGCTCTTAAAATGTATGTTGGTTACAAAATCAGTGTGCTTCTTAACTAAATTCTAATCCATCGATTTCCCTAACTCTAATGTTGTCTAACTTTATACATTCTACTTGTTGTCGAAGCTCATGTCAGGCAAATAACTAAACTGTTGCGCTATATAAAGAATATGTTTTAAGTCAGCATAGCATAGCATAGATTCCACTGTTAACTCTTTAGCTAAGCTAGACAGACTGGAAACTCTTTTATGCTGCACTGTTAACACGCTGAACGTACAGGTTCCTTGTCTGACAGTGCCGTTTCGTTAAGTTTTGCTTAACATGGCACTGTTGAGCGCCTGCTGTTAGCTAACAGACAGAGTGCTGTATATTACAGTGCTGTTGTTGAGCTAGTTAACAGCGAGTTAAACTGCCTGTTAAATGTTTTAAGAGCCTTTCTGCAACAATTTAAATTTAAGTAATATTAGAGTGAATTTTAAACAGACTTGCTCAAAAATAAATTCTCCATATATTTACAGTGCCTGCATCATCTTCATGCCCAAGTTCCGGCCGCGTCTATTGAATGCGCGCAATCGCATGATTCCCATGGAGACCTGCCGCACACTCTCGCGCCGCTTGGACATTGGCGATTGGTGGCTAATATATATGCTGGGTCGCAATCTGGATCCGGTTATATATAAGGAGGTGATGGGCGAATTTGCCAAGCAGGTGGAGCCGGCGAAAAACGATCGCAACAAGTAAACGAGCAGGAGAGCGAGCGAGATAGAGAGAAACCCTCTGGATGATTATATTCATAATTACTATTATTTAGCAAAAATCAAGACAATTAGCTGAAGAAAACAAAAGCAAGAAAAAGACAATCTATTCAAAAATCATTTCCACCCACTCGAGAAGAAGAAGAAGCAAAAGAAAGAAACTCTTAATCAATGATCACAACTCAAATTCGAAAAAGAAAAGAAAAAACAAAAACTGTTTAAATATTTAAGCATAAACACAATATTTCAACAGTTTTGTATTCTTTCTTAA